GCCGGAGCGGGGCCCCCGCCAGGGCCGATGCGGCGTCCCAGCCGCCGTGGGTGCGGCGTCGCTGCTCGTGGCTGGCGCCCTCGCGGCGGCTCTCTCTGGTCGGCTGCTCGGGCGCCACTCGCACCCGCCCCCCGCCCCCTTCCGTCTCCTCCTGGGAATCCCCTTCCTCCGCATTCCTTTCCTCCGCCGTCATCTTCTCGTCCTCACTTTGCTCCTCTTCCTCGTCCTCCTTCCTCATCTGGTTTCATCCGCATCTCCTCCACTAGTCTTCCTTCTAGTCATCTCCTCGTCGCACCACAGGGTATGTCGGTACGGCAGCCTGGGCGTTCCGCTCGAGAAGTCCTCACAAGTCATGCTCGTGAAGCTCGGAAATCCCCCAACAGCTACACGGATGAATGGCAGGTCGTTTTCGGAACGCGGCTCTTGCCGTAGCTCCGCGCACGTTCGGTTTTCCCCATTCGTGTATGTGTAAAGCTAGCCATTGTTTTGCGAAGTGATGGCGGTTTTTGTTTCACAAATCTGGCAGTCGGTGGAGACCCCCTTGACTTTGTCGCCCTCAATCTGGGAACGTGCAACAGTCACACGGATGGAGCGCAGTTGGTTCCCAACCATATTGTGGTGTTGAATCTTCGTTTTGAAGAATCGGCGCCCCGCATCGCCTCTCCTATCCTCTCCCTCTTCTCCTCCTCCTTCCCCCCTCCCTCATCCCACCGTTGCCTCTAATCTCCGCATGCACACACACAAACAAACACCTCTCTCTCTCTCACACACACACGCACGCACACATACACACACACACACACACACACACCTCACACGGTTCGTGGCCCCATGAGAATCTTCGCCGAAGGCTTCAGTGACACAGTTTGTATGGCGGTTCCGCACCCATTTCGGCACACACACACACACACACACACCTCGCACGTTTCGTGGCCCCAAAGGGAGCTCCACGCAAGCGACACCGCACCCATTTCGGCACACCCCTCACGCGCTTCGTGGACCCATACGGAGCTTCGCCGAAGGCCCCTGCGGCACAGGTCGCATGGCGGTTCGGTGCCCATTTCGGCACACCGTTCACACGCTTCGTTGCCCCATGATAGACGCCGCCGAAGGCCCCTGAGGCACAGTTCGCATAGCGGTACCGCACCCCGTTAGGCACCACCTTCACACGCTTCGTGCCCCCATGGAAGCTCCGCCGAAGGCCCCCTCCTCCTTCTTCCTTGCTTCGCGATGCTCGAAGCTGCTTATGGCTGGGTCCTTCGCCAAAATAACTTTCAAATGCTGCTCCCGCGTGAGGTCCGACGTTGGACATGTGGAGCGGGCGTGCGATAGAAAGTGGTCTGTTTCAGAATGGAAATTTCGTCACACACTAGCCTGAGCCGCAGCTTGGCATCGCCCGGACGCGTGCGCTTTGTCTCGGCGAGGACCAGTAAGGAGTATCCTGGATCATCTTGCGACACAGAAATGCACGAAACCGAAGATGCACATGGAATGGACGCCCGAGCGATGGCAAGGCATGCTCCTGCACCTAGACGGCCCTGATCGTCACACTCCTTGGACATGTTTGGTCGGCGCGTTGGCAACTTTTTCCTTGTGGAGAACGTTTTCGAGCCGCTCGCGGTTCAAACCCGCGCGTCCAGTCCCGCGCGGCCCCGCGATTAGGAGCTTGGGCGCGCGCGGAACACTGGACAAAAAATCCCACGGATGGAACAGGGCGGCTCCAGCGGGGCGCCCGCCGGGACTGGCACGCTCGGGATGGGGGCGTTCGCCTCTCGAGGGGGGGCGGCCCCCGCTGCGGGAGGGAGGAGAAGGCGCGCGGCAGGCCCGCGTCGCGACGGCTCTGGCAGTGGTCTCCGACACCACGTGGATCGCTCGGCTCGGGGGCGGCCCAGCGGGGGGCGACGGCTACAGTGAGGCGCCCGAAAAAGGAACGCTTACTTTTCAAAAGGCTCGGTCGTTCAGCTGGTTTGCAGGCGCTCTGGTTTTTTAGCAACGGGGGGGTATCATTGCGGGGGCTACGAGATCCCCCTGATTTCACGGCGCCTCTTCGCATTTCCACGCGCCCCCGGCCTCCCCGCTGGGCCGCGCGCGCGCGCGGCCGGCCATGATTTGCGCCCCCCCTTCTTGGACGCCCCCGGTCAACCTCGATGGACCGGCGTTTCTTCGATCCCCCGATCGATCAACATTGGCTGATTCTGGGCCGCCGGCGGCATTCAAATTGTAGAACGCCCGAGGCGGGGCGAGAGCCAGGCAGGCCAGCTTCCACCCACCGAATACGAGGGCCCGACGGCCACGGGCGCGGGGCAGGACGCGCATGCTGGAGCGCGGGCAGCACGGCGCCGTCGCGACTGCCTGCAGCGCCCCGCAGCTAGCCCACGCCCGCAACCCCAAGTCGGGCACGCTCCTCGCTGCAGGGGGAAATTCTGAAATAGTTTTAGAAAAAATATTACGTGGACATGTTTTCGGCTGCTGTCGGCTACGTTTGAATATGCTCGAACCTAACCTTAACCACATTCCTGCGGTCGCGTCGCCCCAGGGCCAGACGAGCCCGCCCGGGATCCGAGTCACGGGACTACGCCAGCGCTGGCGAAGCACACCTGGAAACGGCCGGAGCACCCCCCCCCTCCTAGGTCGCGCCACGTCGAGGCGATGGAGTTCCGACCAGGGGGGGGGAGGGGGGGGGGGGGGGCGCCGAGGAAGGCCGCCAGGGTCGGGGCGCCTCGCAGAGCCCCCACCCACCCCCCCGCAGCCCCCCCCCCCCGCGCAAATCCGCGCGCGGAAACGCTGGGGAGACCGAACGCGGCGGGGCATGCGAGGGCCCCGCGGGCCTCCCCGCGCGACCGTTCGGGCGCCGCGCGCGAGCCGAGGAACCCCGCCACCCCCCACCCCCCGGGCCCGACGCGGCGGGCCAGGGCGGCACAGAAAGAGGGGCGATCGACCCATTGGTCAACGAACGTTCGCACCAGCGAGACCAAACAAGCCTCGCGGGAATGATCCGAAGGATCGGCGACCGGGGGCACTTCTCAGAGACGGTAGCCAACCAGATGGATCACCCGCACTGGAGCGATAGGAGACCGCCTCTGCCTCTGCATAACTGGGCGGGGGAGACCCACGGGGCCGAATTAATATTTTCTTTTCTACAATTAGTTTCTTCTTATGTGTATCTTATTTTCTCCTTTCTCTTATTTGGAGCTCTTCATTTAATTATTTTCTAATAAGCTCCAAATGAAGAGAAAGAGTGAGAGAAAATAAGAGGAATCAAGAAGAAAATAATGTAATGACACGCCTATCAGGGGCCGCGGCGCGCCAAGGAAGCCGACCTGCACCTCTCTCCACTCCGCAGCCGTCGTTCCGCGCATCGCCCCGGCGCCGGGCGGCGCGCTCCCCTGTCCGGAGGAGGAGGAGGAGGAGGAGGAGGAGGAGGGACCCAGGAGGGAGGAGAGGGAGGAGGAGGAGGCGGCGGCGGCAGCGGCGGAGGAGGAGGAGGAGGGGGCCCGCGACGCCATCATTTCTCCGCGGCGCCAATCGCCCGGGGCCTCGGCCCCTTCCCCGGGGCTTATTTTCCATTCCGAATCACATTCTGGCAACCCCGAGGGCCGGCAAGGGCCCCCGGAGGCCGGAAATATAGTCATCGGCGCGATAAATAAGGAACGAGCCCCCTTTTTTATCCCAAGGAATAACGCATAAGGAACGATAAATAACGCATAACGCATAAGGAACTGTAAATAACGCATGCAAGCCTAAGGAACGACCGAGCCCCTTTTGAAAAGTAAGCGTTCCTTATTCAAGCCGCTCGCTGCAACGAAAAACTCACCGTCATTATTTTTTTGCTCACGTTCATGGCCCGAGGGGGTCTGGGCTTCGACGCGGGGCCACCTGCGCCCTCCTTTCTGGGCCCGCGCCTGCCGCCCACGGGGCCGCCTGCCGCGCTCCGCGCAGCGGCGGGCGCGGCAGCCGACCCCGGCGCGGGGTCCGCCGCGGGCGCGCTCAGGGCCCGCCCCAGCCCAGGACCGGGCGCGGCCACCTTGGGCGGGCCCGCCGCGCAGACGGTGAAGTCGCGCGTGTCGGGGCCGGGCGCCGCCGCTCCATCGCGACGGAGCTCCACATCCGCGCCCCGCCGGCGGCGGCGCAGCTGCTGCGGCGCGTCGGCAGCGCGAAGGGCGGTCACTAAATGATGGAGATCGACGCGGACGACGTCATGCCCCTGCTGCCGCGCTCGGATTGGATGGCGGCGGGAGGGGGCGAGCTCTGCGCCCCGCCGGCACCGCGCCCCGCGCGCGGCAGCTGGGCGGCGGGGCCCCGCGCCGACAAGAAGGTCCAGCTACAAGCCGCCCTGTTGGCTTCGTCGCTCCAGACCCCGCGGAAAGGGCGGCGGGCGGGCAGCTGGAGGCGGCGAGGGGGATCGACGGGAACTGCGAGATGAACATCTGCAACTTGCTGCAGGAGGTGCTCATGCCTGGCACGGCCTGGGGCGTCGACCTGGCCGCGGCGCCCGAAGGCCCCTCGCCCGGTCGGGGCGCCCCCCCCCGGCCCCAGGGGGGCGAGCTCGCCGCGGCGGGCGGCGAAAGCAAGCGGCCCGGCCAGCCCGGCGGCACAGCCGGGCGCCGCGGCCCATGGTGCCACCCTGGACGCGGCGGCTCGGACGGCGAGGGCGCTCGCGGCCGAGGCCGAGACGGAAGCTCAGCAGCTACGACGGGAGCTGGAGGGCGCGCGGGGAGGTGTTCCTCAGCCCGCGCACCCCACTGGCGACAAGCCACGCACTACCATGGTGTCGGCGCCCAAGCGCGAGCTGAGCAGCGACAGCTGGGGCGCTGCGACCAGCGGCGGTGCTCCGCGGCGACGATGCAACCCCGCCGCGGGCGGCGCACCACGGGCGCCCGCCGCCCCGAGACGGGGCCGCCGCGACGCCCGGGCGCGGGCCCGCCCCCCGCAGACGCAGCGCATCTCCAGGGAGAAGAAAGAGAGGGAGGTAGTTTTGGCCAGCGCGCGGCCCAGGCTGGGGGGCGGGTCGCCCGCTGCGTCAACCGACGAGCCGACTGGGCCCAAGAGCCGCACGCTGTCCGCGCGCGGGTTGGCCCCCAGCGGTTGAGCTGAATGTGATCACGGCTCACTGCGGCGACGGCGGGGGGGGGGGGGGGGGCATCTGCGCGCGGCTGGACATGGCGGGGAAGCCCATTCGGCAGGCGCCGTGCACGTTCCAGGCGGCGAGCTGAGCGGAGTCGGCGGCAGGGGCGTCGGAGGGGCGCTGCTGCGCGGAGAAAGGGGCCAAGCCGCCGAGGCGCGGCCACCGACGCCCTGCCGGGCCCGGGCGGGCGGGCAGCGAGCACGACCGCGGCAGCGGGAAAAGCGCCTGGGCGAAGGCCCAGGAGCGGTTAGGGCGCTCGCGCATCCTGCATTGGAGCCCCGCCGTGCATGGCGAATACGCCGACCGCGGGTGGAACTGCGCGGGGGTGGCCCTGAGCGCCGAGCGCCGCCGGGCACGCGCGGCGGCGCTGCTCGCGGCGCAAGCGCGACGCCTGCGAGAGGTGCCATCAGCTACGCATGGACGGGAAGCCGGCGGACAACGACACGAGCGAGCGAGGCGGAGGGGGGCAGGCAGCGGCTGCGGCACCGACAGACCCTGAGCGAGGCGGAGGAGGGGGGGCGCGTGCCCGAGAGAGACCAGCGAACCAGCGCGGAGCCCGTCGGAGGCGACGGAGGACAACCAGCCCGAGGGCGCCGGGAGGCGTGCTAGGGGCGCCTAGGCTTCGGAGACGGGCGAGAACGAGGCGGCCGCGATGGCGGGGCGGCTCAGCCCATGCTCGAGGTTGCCCATGCCCCGTGAGCGCCAGGCGAAGCGGAGGGAGCAGCACGAAGGGCAAGCCCCACTTCCGCGCGGTGGGAAACACAGGAGGCGGCCCAAGTCCGGCGGGCCCAGGGGCACCGACGAGGGCAGCAGCGGCGTTTTCGAGGCGGGTGGAGGCCGCAAGGCTTGGGCGACGAGGGGCCGCCACGCTCTTCGGCGGCTGCTTCGCGCCCACTCTCAACCAGTCGCGGTTCTTCGTTATTTTCGCCCACTGCGCTTTCTCGGCTGGCCTCCGATGCCCGCGCAGGCGCGCGTCGCCCCGACCCGCGGCCCCAGCGCAAGCAGGCCTCTGCCTCGCTGGCGCGTCGGACCCGCCTCTCCTCGGCGCTGGGCCCACGCCCCCAAGTCTATCCTGGCGCCAAGTCGGGGCAGGGGGCGGCGAGCCAGAGGCGCGGGCCATCCCGTTTTCTTGTTACCGCCGCTCCCGGGAGGCGAGCCGTTGCCCTTGTGTTTGGCCGCTGGCAACGTTCGGCTGCAGCGCCGCCCCGCTGCGCGACGCGGGCCTGCCCTTTTTCTTTTCGCGCGCCAGACCCGCCCATCCCAGGCGCCGGGCGCCGCCTTCCCCCCCGCCCCCCCCCCCCCCCCCCCCCCCCCCCCCCCCCCCCCCCCCCCCCCCCCCCCCCCCGCACGACACCGGCATGGAGTCGGGCGGGGGGGGGGGGGGGGCGGGTTGGGGCGAGCGCCCGCCCCAGGATGGCGGGGGCCCGCTCCTGCACGCCCCCCCACCGCCCCACCCCCGCCTTTTGCTTGGCCGGCAATGGCGCCCGCACGGGGCCCAGCACGCGCCGCGGGCCCCGCGCCTGCCGTGCGCCGCGCCACCCGCTGTGCGCGCCCAGCCCCAGGCTGGGCGGCGCCGACCTGGGGTGGTCTTGCCGGGCTTTGCGCCCCGCCCCCCCGGGGCTTCCTCGCGGGCTGCCGCCGCGCGCGTCGGCGTCGGCGTTGACGGCCTCGCCGCCCGCGGCCGCGATGCGCGGCCGGTCTCGCGCGCGCCCGATCTCGCTTGCGCCGCTCATCGTTCGCCGGCGGGCCCGTTGGCGCGGTTCCCCTTCGCCCGCGGGCCCGCGGCGTGAGGACCTTTGCTTGGCACGCAGGCGTCGCCGCTGCTTCTCGCCCGGCCCGTCGGCGCGGCTGTTCTTCACCCGCGAGCCGGAACCCAGCCCTTCTCTTCAGGGCCTCCGCCGACCCCGCCCGGGGCGCAGCGGTCCACTCAGCAGTTTTTTTGTTCGGCAGGCTGCGGCGCCGACCCCCTCGCCGCGGCTTCCGTGGCCGTCCAGTTGGGCCCCCGCTGGCTCGGGCTCGCGGTGGAGTCGCTTTGGGCGCCAGCCAGCTGGGCGGGAGCCCGAGTGGTAGGTAGTCGCCGCTTCATGGGCGCGGCCTGGGGGTGGCGGCCTGCCCACCGCGCGGCGCCCCCCTCTCGCCGCGCGGCCGCGTCGCCCGCTGCGCCCTGCGGGGGGGGGGGGGGGGGGGGGGGGGGCGCGGCTTGGGGGCGGGTCCAGGACGTGGGCTCCGGCCGCCCCTGGCGCGCCTAGTGCCACTTGCCTGAGGCGTCGGACTCGCCTTCGGCCGCTGGAGGCCTGGCCTTTTTTTTCTCCGATCGCGCCGCCTGCTTTGCGCGCCCGGCTCAGAGCTGGTAGGCCCCGCCTCTGTGCGCCCCG